TTGAATTAGAATGCTCAAGATCAATATCAAATGGATTGAAACACAAATCATTTTTATCGAGGTCTACCTGGTCCCCGAAAAAAACCTTTATTTGATATAAAAATTCATTGTCCTTTCAATAATGGTTGAAAGAAATCACACATGATGGACATAATATGTTCTCAGAAGAAGTTATGTTGCATATAAAGCATTACATAATTTATCTAATACAATAATTAAATTAAACAAAAAATTTAAAACAATTATTATAAGATAAGATACAAAAGATAATAAAGTATCACTAATATATATTATTTTCGAAAACAGTAATACCGTTTATGTTCAGTAAATGTTAACGGGCAAATATTACTTCGAGACTCAATATATGCAAAACAAGATATAGGCCTATGGTCTTATAACAGTATTTAGAGACAGGGAGGCAGGAAAAACAAGGAAGGGTATTGTGACATGCTTCATGGAAGAAAAGCAATTTTTTGAAACAGGACATTATTCTTTCACAATAAAATATTAAAGAGCAAGTTATAAGTTCACCTATTTGAGCAGCAAAGCAGTACATAATGATTGAACTGTACGTACAGGTGAATAATTAAAATACCGTGACTTACGGAATGTGTACATTTTACTAATGATGCCAATAAAAAGTACTTTTCATCATAACAGATAAACAGAATAACGATTTCTGGAACTTAGTAAATTAGCATCATGTTCTGTAATATGAAAAAATATATAACGTTTTATTTTTAAGTTCCGGGACATAGTTTCCTAATATTGTCCAAGGACATAATTCTTTTCATATATTCTTTGCCATTTTGCTCACGAATCACTGCGTAGATACGACCATCGATTGACCACGAAGCTGTAACACATTCCTTCTTTTTGAGTGCAATTATTAAGTCTCGTCGATATCTTGTGAGATCTTCCTGGATTGATCTACAAGTACCTTTTAGTTTTTTCTAGCCTTAATAATAATTTCATTGCGTTTGTGATAGTGGCAAAACTTCACGATGATGGGCCTTGCTTTGCCTGCCATCTGCTTTCCAATACGTTGAGATCAATCAATGTCGTCTAGAGTAAGATTGATATCCAAATCAGAGTTAACCAATTTAATGATGACACTATCCGTATTCTCAGAGGTCTGTTCTTCAATGCCGAAAAAACGAAGACAATTTCTCCGGCTATATTGTTGTAAGCCTATCAATAATGCTGTCTTCACTCACTTGTAGTTTATTAACTTGGACGGTGAGTGAATGGATATCATCCTGCTATTGGAGTTATTTGCTTACTAATAAGAACGTCAAGTTGTTTTAATACAGCTGGGCTTGCAAATGCCTCTTCAATATGGCCTTTTAAAATCTTTTTAAAATCCACGCTAGACAACAATTCGGCTATCGCATGTTTTGCGATAGCCTGTTGTTGTTTTGCAATAGCCTGTTGATCTTGTGTCTGGCTTCTGGTATGGCTCATTATTGAAGGGAAACAAAAATTCTAATTTCTTAATGGATTGTAATACCTATGAGAATACAATATTAGTTGAGCCAACGAAGAAATACTCACAAAAGGTTAGCACATAATTGTCCGATTAAAAATCACAATCGGAGAGACGATCAATGTACGTGTGCTCTCGTTGACTTCTAAGAAACTTTTAGATATAATGTTGTCGATTTCCGTTGAAAATGCATTGGCGGAGAGGTCAGGTGCTCTGTATACTATTCCTATTATGATGTTTTTACTTTTACTAGGAATTTATAAATAAACTTTCACAGATATTATTTTCGGGTTTGATGTCGATTCTTTCAATAGCGTTCATATGTTCATGTATATAGATGCCAACACTAACCCCTTTTATATTTTGGCTATTTAAATGAGGGAAAAGCGATTTTTTTTTTAACCGGATTCGAAACCTGAATACTTCTGACCAATCAGAAGTCTTGCTGCTCTCTCTGCAAAAATCCGAGTCACATCGAAAATGGCGACAGAAGTGTGTTAGAAGTTGGTCGATGATACACTAGAGGCAATTCTAGTGCAAGTTGAGCTCGCTCCTATATTATACAATAAAGACTCCATAGAATATAAGAACGACGTCAAAAAGGGACAAGTATATGCCGAAATTGGTGCCAGGTTTGGCGTCACAGGTAAGTTTCTCAGTCATAGCAATAACATAGGCCTAGGCCCTAGCCTAGATGAGGCATAGGGCCGCCGGCTAGGCCTAGGCGCTAGACAAGACATACTGGGCATTCAGACTGTGTTCTCGGTGCATGTTCTGGGCACATAATGTTTTCGGCACATGTCATTTTTTGTAGTCTGAACGTATGCTAATGGAATTTATGTCGAGCACAGAATGTTCTAGCTAGAACCCAGTTGAACCACGTTCTCGGAACAAAATGTTTTCGAACTACGACTCTAGAATGAAGTCTGAACGTGTGCCGAGCATAAAATGTTATAACTCGGCGGGCTTCAGTGACGTGACCTGACCTGCTTTGACATTCTTCCGAGGCGCAATGTACACATGTTAGGGCAAATAGAAAAATTTATTAGATTGTCACTCTCGCCAGCATCAAAAATTTGGGAAATATTGATGCGGGAATAATTTTTTTTTTTTTGCCGCATCAATTATTTCAACAGCATAAAAATAACAATGCAATTTTGTGACTTTAAATACATTTTCTTTAAAAAACTATAAAATGAAACCAGTTTTTATACAATATTTACTATTACATACCAAATATAAAAAAAAGTCCCCTCCCTCATCGATAAAAACAAAGGCGAAATAGGCCTAATCTATAATTGTTCCAATTAAAAATAAAACCGCCCTTCATCATTTTTTTTTTAGATGATAAGAGTGATAATCTAATAATATTTTCTATGTGCTCTTATAATACAGCAGTACTACTGTTCTCTTGATTAATTTATGCTGTAGGCCAACATTTTTTGGAACAAAACAAAATTCTGAAAACATGTTCTGACAGAGGAAGCACATGAAGTGCAGTCATCGAAATGAATTGCATAGTTGAAGTTTGGGAAGAAGGGAGCTAAGCACAAAATACCAAAGGATCTGGGAATAAGCAACTGTTCCAAAAGGTATCCGACAATCTTGAGATTTCCACAAAGACCCTGGGATCGTATAAGATACTGCATTCTTATATTATTATCAGTTTTAAGCTTTATAAATTATGATTACAGGGCTTAAGCTGGCAAAAAGAAATATTCAACAATTTTTTTGGCTATTTTGGTATGAAATTAATTAGCCAAATAGAAATTGCTGAGCCTATATAACAAGTCATTACTAACCTCCAGAGCTACATACTGCAGGCCTTTAGTAATAACTAAAACTAAACATACAGTATAATATAATTAATATTAAACCTAAAATTGAAATTACCTCAACCTAAAACTGAATATAATAATAAAAATACTGTAGTTTATTTCATAAAGGAGCATTCGATAGTTAAAAACTTAACTCTGATGTTAAAACTGCTTCAACACTGCATATATTTCAACGAAATTTCAAGATTTTATATTAATCTGCAGCCTAACTTTGTGCAGTATGTTGTAGAGTAGGTATAGCCATATTTAAAAATGCTTTACCTTTGTTTATAATCAAATTGTAACTTGATGTTTATCTTCAGGGGATCAAGTAAAAGCAAAGTTCAACCATATGAGAGATGGCTACCGAAAAAATTTAGAAAAGATTTGAAAATCAACACGTAGTGGAGCAGCAGTAGTTTTTGTGAAGCCCTATAAATGGTCAAAACAACTCCAGTTTTTAATAGCTCATTTACAACCCAAAAAGTAAGAACGATTGATTTTGAAATAATTATGTTCACAGACCTTGAAAAAAAAATAAAAAAAAATATCAATTCCAATGGAGTAGTTTTAAAAAAAAATTAATTATCAATTGCTAATACAGTAGAACCCTTATTAAGGGGACACCTTAATAGGGGTGTCCCCTTAAAAGGGGTACCCCTGTTCATGGGACACTACACAAAAACTTGAAATTGTCCCCTTAATAGCATGTTTTCATACAATTATGTTATATTGACATAAGATTCAATTACAGAAGAATTGGAAATAATTTGCAATGCAAATACGATTTATTTATAATATGAAAAACAAAGAAATCCCTGTGGTTAAGGGTAAAAATGTCAAGATCGTGGTTTATACGAAGTAACACATACAGTATGGGCCTATACTGATATTCACTCTAAGGATTCAGGAAAGAAAATTCTTGTTTATTGCTAAAAAGGTGTCAAAATATAAGGGTGAATGAATTGTTCTTATTTTGAGACTGTTGTAGTTGTAAAAAAGCATTAGGTGTTCCCTTAATAGGGGTTATTTAACCATTTGGCACACTCAGAAAGTGTCCCCGTTCCCTTAAATAGGGGTGTCCCAAAGGAGGGGGTTCTACTTTAAAAAGGCAAAAATTGTGACAGATTTAAATAGTTATAATGATATACTGTAATGTACATTTATTTCCCAAAGCAGTGCTTGTTCTGCCATGCAACTTTGCCAGCGTCTGAATCAAAATACTGGGCAAACTTGTTGCGAACTTCAATAGCGTCCTTCGATCCATGAATCCTCTTTTTTCCAAAGAATTAAGACAACCCCTCACAGTGATCTAAGATGTCTTGTGGGTTTTCAATTTGCATCTGTCCAGGAACTTTTCCAACAGGGCTTGTGAATTATGAAGGACACATGTTGCTTTGATTACATGATCTGTATTCTGTGGTGCAAGGTTAATCACTCGAAAAAAAATTCTAAATCTCGCACATAGCTGCCCAAAAACATTTTCAGAAATTCTTTTACCCCTTGAGTGCCTGTAATTGTAGATCCTCTTCTGATCTGTCAGTGCCTTGCCAGGAAAAGGCCCCATCATGGTCATGTTAAGGGGAAAAGGCCTCATCATGGTCATGTTATAAGGGGGAAAGCCTCATCACCTAAAATGACATGGGGCATTTCACCCAACTCAGGTGCACCTGGTAAACATTTTAAGCCAGGAAATTTCACTGTGCCCTTATCAATTGCCTTCGAGAGTGTGCTTCTTGCGAAGATACCCCCGTCACTTGCTGAACCATAGTTGCCAACATCAATATTGTAAAGCAATAATTAGCATCATCTAAGGCCAAAAGGACAATCGAAAAATGGCCCTTGTAACAAAAATACTTCGAGCCACTGTTGTTAGGAGCTTGAATATGACGTTTTCCATCAATAGCTCCTAGGCTTTTTGGGTAGTTCCATCGGAGGTAAAAGTCGTTTGCTAACTTTTCCCATTCGTCAGGTGATGATGGCATTACCATGTAAATACCGCTTAGTCTTTCCAATATTGCCACACGGACTTCTACAATGATCATTGACACTGTTAAAATGCCCATTCTATAGCTGTAATGGAATGATCCATATGAGTCACCGGTTGCTAAAAATCTGTAAATAAACGAATGAAAACATATTAAACTGGTTTTAGATAAAACAATGCATTGCCTCTTTTGCTTTTGTTTATTCCAATGTGATCCATTTTTAATGTGTTATGTCGAGTTATCTAATTACATATGTGTAAAATTTACATTAGTTTATACCTTAAACAGACAGATAGACGTTCTCTTGGTGAGATGGCTTTTCTGAACCGCGTGTCTTGTTTAACAATATCATCATGGATCAAGTTCAAAATGGTTTCAAATTGTTCTTCCGTCATCCGAAAATAGGCAAAATACTGATCTTCAATTGAATTTAAATCGTTTGTTATCAGGGAGACAAAGTGGCCAAGTTTTGGTCTCTTCTGGTTGATAGGGTTGACCCACACAGCATAGCAGGTCGAGATCCATGAAAAGTCGTATATAAAGATGTGGGTTACCCACATCTTTATAATTACACAAGTAATTAAAATTGTTTATTCACAGATTAATCTGACTGATAAACAATTCTACTATATTTGGCTGGTGCATATGAACTTCTATTTAGAGACATAATTTCATTATTTTCTTTCCAAAAATATTAAACGTTAACTAGCACCTCATAACGACGCCGTTGTATTTAGGTACACGCTACAGTGCACACAATGAGCCAACAACTTGGATAGCAGAGTTCCGCATGAGTGATTCACCCCACATCTTAATAGCTGGGTTCACGTCGAACTTTTATCTAGATACATCCACTTAACTAGTTAAAAGTTCGACGTGAACCACTCAATTATAGCTAGTTAAAGGAATTAAGTCACTTAAGTTAAGTGACTTAACTTTACTAGAATAACGGTAAATTAACTTGCTTAACGGTAAAGTCGGCCTGGATTAAAAGGACACGATTACGTAATGTAGGCATCTAAGCCAGCTTTGTTGTATTGTACCACCATTATCATCTTCTGGCTGGGAACAACGTACTGCAACAATGCTAACAACAGCATCGAAGTAGTCTCATTAGTCTGGTTTTCAGAAATTATTTGTAAACACCCAGCAAACGTCCGTTTTACGAATAGTCGATATTACCAATGACCTTTGCCCTTTGCATCATCGACCAAGTAATAACGTTAAAAAGTCCGATTGCGTACGTTTTTCAAAGATGATAATGTATATTTTTCTTAATAATAAAATCAGATTTGTTGTATTTATTTATTTACAATTCAATCTTTTCTATTTCTGCTATAATAGTCGCTATTAATTCAATTTCAACGAACTACCACCAACGCATCATGTTTACGATGAAATAAAAAAGTGTGTGGAAGTCAGCAACTTATTTGACACCGCGAAGCTAGATTTTGGCGAAGTGCATGTAAACAACACAATTGAGCGATCTAAAAACTACAAAACAAGACAGAAAGGTCCATAAAGTATACAGACGTTTTAATGAAAATTAAAGCAATATTTTGTTAGATGGAAGAATGCTAGCTAGCGATTAAAATAATTCGTTTTTTATCGAAGGTAAATGTAGCTAGGGCCAGGGCCTAGAGAATCTACCACTTAGATTGCGATAGAACACGCTGCTGCACTGGTCGTTGGTTCATACTGGTTGGCTAGGTTAGGTAGTGGAAACTCACACCTTCTCTACAGTAGTTTACAATTTTTTTGAA